CCATTTTACAGATAAAGAAACTGGGGTGAAGTGACTTGGCCGGGGTCACATAATTAGTTAAGTGTCAGAGGCAGGATTTATAGTCAAGGTTTCCTGACTCCCAGTTTGGCCTTATATCCATGGCCCCTAGCAGCCCCTATTCTGATGCAGGTAACTCGAAAAGAATCAAAATCCCTACTGTTCATCTTTACCATATTATAATCTTTTAATCACAAAGGCAACTTAGATCTTGGGAGTTTGTATTGTGAATTTCACACAAATACACACTTTAAGGAATAAGAATAAGAGGAGAACAAGTTATGTAATTATTTTTTATGACACTTAATAGTCTTATGATCTTTTAAATCTAGGAACTGTGTTTCAAAGAAAGCTAGTTTCTCTACCCTTTGAATTTCTTTGTCTCCCTCAAATTTTAAGTTTCTGATAAATGGAGGACAACATTTTGCTATGTTTTATCTAATGTGGGCTTTTTTTATCTCATGGTATCAATCTGAGATAAGCAATTATGTTGCTTTCAAAAGCACCTATAACTTAAAATACACAAACATAATAAAATAAACTCTACATTTGGGACAAAGGGAGCAATAATTAGAAATACAGTCCATTAAGGTGAAAATAAAGCACCTAGAGATATGTAGAGTATGCTTGTAGATTTTCTTTCATAGGTATTTGACAGATTTGTGAAATGTGTATGAAATATCACATCGAAGGTTGTTGTCCTTTTTTAATTCACTGGGATGCTTGACAAAATTTAACTGTTATTAAAGTAAACAGAGGGGCAGCTAGGTGGTGCAGTGGATAGAGCACCAGCCCTGGATTCAGGAGGACCTGAGTTCAAATCCAGCCTCAGACACATAACATGTACTAGCTGTGTGACCCTGGGCAAGTCACTTAACCCCATTGCCTAGCCAAAAACAAAACAAAACAAAAAAAACACAAGAAAGGAAAAAAGTAAAGAGAGAAATAGGTAAAAGCATTTGATATAGGAAAAAAAAGAAAAGAAAAATAATCCAGACCCCATCTGAAGGTGGTTGATCAGTTTTTGTTTTTTAGGTTGGGGTTTTTTTTTTGCTTTTTTAAAAAAATCAATTTATTTATTTTTAGTTTTCAACATTCACTTCCATACGATTTTGAGTTCTAAATTTTCTCCCCCTTCCTCCCGTCCCCCCTCCCCAAGATGTTGCAATCTGATATAGGCTATACATACACATTCATAGTACAGAGTTTAAGCCCTAAAGGAAGAATGAATTAGGAATGAGTGTTAGTGTGGTACGGTAAAGTCTTAACTCTGGAATCAAACCCCTTAGCTCTGGGTTCAAAATCCGCCACTGAGGCTTAGGGCCTATGTGACCTTGGGTAAATCACCTAACCTTCCTGGACCTCAGTCTCCTCATTTGCAAAATGAATGGGCTGGACTCAAATAGACTGTGAGGTTAGCTAGGTGGTGCAGTGAATAGAGCACTACGTCTGGAGTTAGAAAGATCTGAGTTCAAATCCAGCTTCAGACACTCCTAGCTGTGAACTTTGAGCAGGCTGCTTCACCGCTATCTGCCTCAGTTTCCTCAATTGTAAAATGAGTATAATAACGGCATTTACTTTTTAGGTTGTTGTGAGAATCAAGTGAGGTAATATTTTTAACGTGTTTAGCAACTACTAGTAGGTACCTTCCTTCTAGCTCTAAATCCAGGATCACATTTCCACAGCGACTGAAGGTCTGAAAAGCACTAATCTCAGTTGAGTCTCACAACCGCCTTGGGAGGTGGGTACTTGGGACTTATTTGCCTTATTTACAGAGCAGGCAACTAAGGCACCAAAGGTGAGGTGATTTGCCCATGCTCAGTGAGGTAGTGAGTAACAGAGTTGGAACCCAGGTCCTCTAATGCCAAAGCTAGGCTTTGAAGCAGTAAGTATAGGAAGTGGGGATTTGAACTCAGGTCTTCCTGACTCCAAATCCCATTCAATTATCAGCTAGTCTGGTCGAGTCTCTACCTTCGAGGTGTTTACGCTCTCCAGGGCGATACAACAGGTATACCAAGTAAGTAAATGCAAAGTGTGCACCAAGTCCTTCAAGAGGGAGAGTTTTCTGGGGGAATTGAGAAAGTGGGCATTGATGGGAGTTAGGGACAATTGAGAGGAAGACAGGTGATGAGGGAGAGCCCCCGCCCCACAGCCATGCGGGGCAGCTGGCGCAAGGCCACGGGGATCTCCCAGCCCCTGCGGAGTCTCCACTGTGGCTGCTGAACCAGGTGGGACTGCCTGGCTGCATGGTCAGACTGCTTTGTTCCCGGAGCCCCAGGTCCTGCCACGCCCCTATGTTACCGCAGGCCCAGCCCCGGCCCCCTTACCTTGGCTATCCTGTACGGGTACACTTCCTCGGATTTCTTGTTCTGACTGAAGAGCTGCATAGAGGCGCTTTGGGATGATACGTTGATGATGGCGGCCCGGTGAATGCCCATGACGACATCTTGGTATGCGGCCTTCCTCAGTAGGGGGAGAAACGCCTTGGGGAGGTGGGAAGGAGTGAACATTCAAAACACCTGTCGTTGTTCAGTCGATTTCAGTCGTGTCCGACTCTTCTTGACCCAACTCGGGGTTTTCTTGGCAGAGACACTGGAGTGGTTTGCCATTTCTTTCTCCAGCTCATTTTACAGATGAGGAAACTGAGGCAAACAAGGCAGAGTGACTTGCCCAGGGTCACACAGCTAATAAGCACCTGAGGCCACATTTGAACTCAGGTCTTCTTGAGTGGACCTACTTCTTATTCCTCAGTTGCTATGTGCCTTTAGGCTTTCAATTTTTAAAAATGAGAAAATTGAGGCCCATAGAGTTGTATTCAACAATCTCTCAAGGTCACTTCCAGGCTCCCTTGAGCCAGCCCCTCAGAGGCAGCTCCTTCCTCTGACAGAGTCCAGGCTGATGGCCCAACTCAGGGGAAGAATATGATATACGATCACAGATTCCATTAAAAATAGTAGGGAACGTGCTTATGGCTTTTTGAGGTTTATAAAATACTTTAAAATATTACCTTACAAGGACCCTTGAAAGGAGACCCTGAGTTCAAATCCTGGCCATTTACTGCCTATATGACCTTGGGTAAGTCACTAGCCTGAGTTTCCATTTCCTCATCTACAAAATGAAGGGGCTGGGATGAGTAGTCTCTGAGTCAGGGGTTCAATCTTAACCATTTTTTGTGCCCTGGTCTCCATGGGTAGTCAGTATGGAACTCTTCTCAGAAACATGTTTTTAAGTGTGTTAAAAAAAAAACAGAGCTAGTGAAAATAAGGTTATGATTGGTTTTTCCCCATCCTAGTTCATGAACTGCCTGAAATTTGTCCATGGACCTGGAGTTAAGAACCCCTGGTCTAGGAGCTCCATGAGTTAATGATGTATTAACCCAGGGTCACACAACTAAGTGTCTGAGGCTGGATTTGAAACTTGGTCTTAGAGATCACAGGGCAGCTAGGTGGTACTGTGGGTAGAGCCCTGGGCCTGGAGTCAGGAAGACATGAGTTCAACACGTACTAGGAGTGTGAACCTGGGCAAGTCACTTAACTCTGTTCATCTCAGTTTCCTCATCTGTAAAATGAGCTGGAGAAAAAAATATTGCCAAGAAAACCCTAAATGGGGTCACAGAGAGTTGGACATGACTGAAAAATGGCTGAACAACAATTTCGAGATGATACAAATACAGATTTAGAGCTAGAAGGACCCCAAAGGTCATCGAGTCTAACTCCTCTCTCAATTTTCAGATGAGGAAACTGAGGCTTAGAGAAATTTCTTCCTAAAAAGAAACTTATTCTAAGATCTAACTTCTCAGACAACTTACTCTAAGGACTCTAAGACCAGTGGTTCTAGCTAGTATGCTGCACTGGCTAGTAAAAGATGTAGGAAGGAAGGCAATAAGCATTTATTAAGTGTCTACTGTAAGCACTTTACAAATATTATCTCATTTGACCCTGGAAGGAGGTGCTATTATTATCCCCATTTTACAATTGAGGAAACTGAGGTAGACACAGATGAAGCAACTTGCTTTCCCTCGAACACCCCCCCAGCTCAAGAAGCATTCATTGCTCCTGACTGCCTCTAAGATGTTAGAACTTCTGATCAGCATTTAAAGCCCTTCGCCATGTGGCTCTGGCCCTTTTCTAGGCTTATTGAGACTTACCCTACCCCAGGCACTCTGTGTTCCAGCCAAACTGGTCTGCTTCCTGTTCCTCCCCTACACCATTCCACTTCCCACCTCTGAGACTTTGTGTAGGCTGACGCCATGCCTACAATGCCATCCCTCCTCACCTCCGCCTCTTCCTTTGAGGTTCAGCTCAAGCACCTCCTCCTCCCCGGAAACCCCTTTGTGTATATTTTGGATATATTTATCTGTGTGACCCGTAGCCCTCCCCCACACAGAATGTAAACTCTTGGAAGGAAGGGGACCAGTTCACTTCTGCTTTTATAACCTCAGTGTGCCTGGCACATTTGCTTAACAAACACTGGCTGAATGAATGATTAAATGAAGGGACAGCCACCCAACTCTCTGGCCTGCCCTGCCCGACCCAGGGGCCTGGCCTGCCTCACCTTGCTGACCATGAGCTGGGCCACCGTGTTGGTCTCATAGAGGGCCAGCATATCCTGGGCTGTGACGCTGTCCAGGGTGGCAATCCTGTTGATGCCTGCATTGTTGATGAGGCAGTTAAGGCCCTGTTCCCCCACCAGGGCCTCCGTTTCTTGTGTGGCCTTCTTGATGCTGTTTTCACACAGGATGTCTAGGGTGGAGAGGGGAGCAGAGGAAGAAGGATGGAGGAGGGGATTCAAGGGAAGGCAGTGTTCATTGAGCAAGGGGGCTAGAGAAATCCAGGGAGTGGAGATTCAAATAGCCCAGGCAGGGGAACTGAAGCCAAGCAGTGGGCCTGGAGGAGTCCATGCTGTGGACAGCCAGGGAGCCATATGCAAGCAGCAAAGCTACAGGACAGCAGACAGGACACGTGAAGGCAGTCAGACATTATGTTGGGAGGGCCTGTGCTCCTTTATTGGAATTTTAGCCAGGGTGCCCAATCGTGGGGGACCTATTCTGTGCCCCCCATTCCCAACCCAGACACTTACCCAACTGTAGGACTCTGAGATTCTGATGCTGCTTTTTCAGATGCTGGAGTTCCTGGGGAAGGAATAAGCATTTATTAAACACCAGGATCTATGCTAAGCATTTTACAATGATTATTTCTTTTTGGCTTTGTAAAACTATCTACACACACACACACACACACACATATACACACACACATTGGGGAGGTATATACATACATACATATATATGTTGTTGAATTTTCAGTCATATCTGGCTCCTCATGACCCCATTTGGGATTTTCTTGCCAGAGATATTGGAGCAGTTTGCCATTTCCTTCTGCAGCTCATTTTACAGATGAGGAAACTGAGGCAAACAGGGTGAAATGACTTGCCCAGGGTCATACAGCTAGGAAGTGTCTGAGGCCATATCTGAACTCAGGAAGACTCTGTGTGTGTGTGTGTGTGTGTGTGTGTGTGTGTGTGTGTGTGTACACACACGCGTGCATGCGCACACTCACGCCTATCCCTTTAGTTCACAGCTGTTGCTGTCTATCTGGCAGTAGCCCACAAGTAGGTGACAGTTAAAGTCTTTTTTTTTTAAATCTCCCAGCCTTGCCTCCTGATTTATTGACCTGCAGTTAATAGAACTGAGGTGGGAGGAATTCCATACTTTTTAAGTATTCCAATTTATATTGTGTGGGTCAACCAGGTAAGATTTCTTACCCACACCACCCTCCTGGAACTCAACTCCTGACTGTCTCTGATGATCTCAAGGATAGTAAGAGTAATTTCCCTCAACTTTTTTATACTATAGGAGGCCTAGGGATGGTTAAACTGTTTAAAGGATAATTGGATTGTTGGTAGTTATCTTCCTCAGTTTTGAATCAGTGTGTGCAGAGGCATCATTCTATAGTTTGCAGGGGTTCAATCAGAGTTCGAGGGGAGGAAGGGAAAGCAAATCAGAAGCCCACGGTGTGGACATGAAATTCAACTAGAGAGTGAGGAGAAGTACCTAAAAGTGCTCTGAGAAGTAGAAGAGTTTGTAAAAGGCAACATTTGATACCCTAAAAGGTAATGGCAGGAGCCTCCTGACTTGATTTCCCCATTATGCTCTTTCTTTTCTAAACAGGGAAGATCCCCACCCATCAGAGCATAAGCCCAACTAGGAGAACCTTTGAATTATGTGGAATTCTTTTGTATGACTTTTACCTGAAATCAGACCAAGCTAGGGGAGTTTTGTCCTGTTATACCCATGATAGGTCAGTTCCCGCCTTTAAGCTCAGGCCAGATGGAACAGTTTTGATGTAGTTATGACCATGTTCCTCCTTTTCCTTTCATGTCAAATTTTTCTGACAATGGTAGAAGAACTGCAAATATTTTATAATGAATCTTACTATGAAGACCCTCTGGCATTGCAAGGCTCACTATGATGAAGGTACAGGGACAAAGGACTCTGCTACGGCATTTTTTACTCTGCTGAATTTATGGCCACTGTTTGTTTCAACCTCCTAACCTAGGCAACTAAGACAAAACAGTTCTTTAAATCTGCCATCTCCTTGCTCATAGGTTTTACAGTTGTAATTCATATATAATCATCACCATAAGTAAATTAGGAGAACAAGGAATAATTTACCTGTCAGGTCGATGGAGAAGGAAGAATTCATAACCAAACAAAGAGATTGAGAGCTTTATGTGATGTAAAATGGATAATTTGGGTTATATTAAATTTAAAAGGGTTTGCACAAACAAAACCAATACAGCCAAGATTAGAAGGAAAGCAGAAAGCTGGGAAACAATTTTTAAAGCAAGTAAAGGCCTCATTTCTTAAGTCTATAGAGCACTGAGTCAAATATATAAGAATACGAGTCATTCTCCAATTGATAAATGGTCACGTATAAGATTATGTCCTTATAGTCTCACATTCTTTCTTTCTAAATAAGCCTTCTCTCTCCCCTGTTAGGAGGATAAAATATATCCTCCAAGGGGGAAACTATAAAGATGTTAAAAAGCTCTAATTCTTAATCAAGTAGTAAATCTTACTTTGAGAAAGACAACAAGATCAGACTCTTACTTCTTGGGGGCTAGAATAGGTATGGTTGGCTTCTAAATGTTTTCCAGTGGTAAAGAATAGATTTTAAGGACTCACTATAGCTGAAACTACATTGGTAGCCTTAGAACGTCTGCTGTGTGTTAATTTAAAAAATGATAAAAGGTCAAGTAAAGATGATCATTTTAAATGATGTATTTTAAATTTTATGTTGGAGATAATAGAGAACAAGACTGAAAAAAGTAAAGCAAGGTGCCTAACCCGCTCCAGAAGGTCCATTTGCTGGGTGGCTAGGTGGCGCAGTGGATAGAGCACCAGCCCTTAAGTCGGGAGGACCTGAGTTCAAATCCAGCCTCAGACCACACACTTGACACTTATTAGCTATGTGACCCTGGGCGAGTCGCTTAATACCAATTGCCTAAAAAAAAAAGACAGAAGGTCCATTTGAATATCCACAGATGCCTATTCATACAAATGCCTAAATACCTAAGCTTTGAATATGTTTTAGTAATTGTCTATAAATTCTCAGGTTGTATTGAGACTTCCATATATATGATTTAATAGTTGTCAAAGAAACTTGTAAATTATGTTTTTCTTGTTTGAGATATCTGTCTCTCTGTCTCTGTCTCTCTCTGTCTCTGTCTCTCTCTCTCTCTCTCTCTCTCTCTCTCTCTCTCTCTCTCTCTCTCTCTCTCTCTCTCTCTCTCTCTCATAAAATCAAGAGAAAGGACTCATTTTACCAGTCAGGTCACCAATCATCCTTTCAAGGTTCTTCCTCCAACCCATAAACTACATTGTCCATATCATCTACAGGGCTTGCAAAATGTAGAAAGAAAAATTGATATGTGAATATTGAAATTCTCCAAACTTTCAGATGAGTTGCAGGTTACCTAGTATGACCTTCTTCCTATGGCCCTGATGTTTGTGGTGTTAACTCCACAAGGTTTGCACTGGCTTTTACCACATGTACTAATTACTAGAAGGCCAGCGCAGCTGGATTTTGTCAGGCCCTACTAAATGATCCTGTCTTATCACTAGCAGCAACATTACCTAGGGAGCCTCCACAAGTGGCAATGCGTAACCACTTCCCTAGAAACAAGGTAGAAAGTTCTATCTCAATGTAAGCAGGCCAAGCTGGACAATTTAGGGGCAGTGGTCTGGGACAGACCCCTTTTCATATGGAATTTCCAAGGCAAAATGCTTCCTGAAGCAGATAACTTCCTGAAGTAGACAGTTAAACCCAAGAAGGAACAAGATGCCTGTTATCTAAATAGCCATTAAGATGCATTCCTCTTTCCTTACTCACTCTTTCATTATTATTACTCTTTCATTTCTTACATTACACTTCCCTTACATACTTTTAATTGTAGAGTTATGTTTATGGTCTGTTGTTTCTTAGTGCATCCTAACCCTTTTAGAAGGTTAAGACCTTGGTACCAGATTCAAGATAAAAACTAAAAGTTTGAACCCAGGTCCTCTACGTTCTAGTTCTTTGTACTATTATTGGTAATAATGTATCATAGAAAGATGTTATTCTCAGGGGTCTGTGTCCCCACCTTTATGTGTGGACAATTTTGCTAAATAGTTACTACTATTCAAAACAGTAGCTTGAAAGAACTAAGTTCAGGAAATTATCATGATCCTCCATTCCTGCTAAGAGTTTTGTTGAAGCTCCTTTTAAAATTCCTTCTCAGTTTATCTCGGTAGGCTTGATGACTGCTATTTAGTTTTCAAGAGAATGTTCGGGATTTTGTATCACTTGTACTCCATGTATTTTTTTGTTTCATCATTTCCATTACTCTCTCTGGTCTAGGCCTCCAACTTTGCTGTGCAAACAACTGCCTTATTATATTCTAGACCCATGTATCAAGTGCCCCAGATTTGATCATACTTCCTAGGAAGTACCAAATTGGGAAATGTGGAGGAGGTGGGTAAACCCGTGTACTGTGAGTCTGGGAGAAATATCTACTCCCCAGAAAAAGAAATTATAGAGGCCAAAGAAACAGGGCTATACTATTGTGTAAATCAAGACCCTCAGGATGTTCAGAACAGGTTAAATCTACCAGATTCTATCTTGGAGGGGCCCTCATTACCTTAGAGATTTGTTGTCTGAATATTATATTCTGCTAAGACTTTTGTTTTTGTTGTTGAGCTCTGTCCAACTCTCCATGACCCCATGTAAGGTTTTCTTGGCAAAGATACCAGAGTGGTATGCCATTTCCTTCTCCAACTCATTTTACAGATGAGGAAACTGAGGCAAACAAGATTAAGTGACTTGCCCAGGGTCACATAGCTAGTAAGTGTCTGAAGCCAAATTTGCACTCAGTCTTCCTGACTCTAGGGTCCGGGCTTTATCCACTGCACCACCTAGCTGCCCCTCTGATGAGATTATTTACAGAGAAAATATCATCCCACAGGAACAAACCTGATCTTTAGCAACTCCTTAGATCCCAAGATTAATGCATTCTCCTTATTTCCATTTTGCCATGGAATGCAACCGATCGGTGTGTGCACCTACCTTCGTTTGGGGCTATTGCTATCCACATGGCAACAGTCCACCAGCTGGTGGTGATTAAGACTTTTTTTAAAAACTCTTCCAGCCTTGCCTCCTGATTTATTGACCTCCAGTCACAAGGACCAAGGTGGGAGGAATTCCCCAATACACCCCACTCCCAGGGGTCATAGTAACTTGTAGCAACATATTACAGTGGAAGGTATGAGTTTGTCCAGGTGAACCTGAGACAGTAGTTCCTGCATTTCCCAATTCCTGGCTGCCATCTCCCTCTCTGTTTCCTTTTCCAGGCACTGGTCAGCCACTATTATTGGTGTAACTTGGACAAGAGGCAAGGTCTTCCAGTTCTTGTCCCAGTCCAGTGATCTTTTCATTATATCAAACTCTTGCCCACTGCCAGGGCAAGATCTATGTTTAGATTATTGTTGGGTAAGAGACAGCATGGGGGTGGATAATGAGTAAGAGCCAAAAAACCAAAACAAACAAAACCCAGTAATAATGAACATAGCACTTTAAGGTTTGTAAAATGCTCTGTATCTATTACTTCATTTGATCTAGACAGCTCTTAGAGATAGATGATATTATTTCCACTTTATAGAAAAAGAAACTGAGACTAATTGACTTTACCAGGGTCACACAGTTAATGAAGGTTGGAAGTAGAATTTGAACCCAGGTTATCCTAACACTAAATCCAACACTCTATCCACTCAATCACCTGGCTGTTTGTTTTGTATATCTCTTTCTTCTTATTTCTTTTCCTTATTTGCCTCTTTCTTCATATATTCCCTACCTACCTCTCCCCAGTTATTTTTCCCTCATCTTCATCCCTCTGCCTTTTTCTTGCTCATTCATCTTTCCCTTTGTCTCTCCCCCTCCCAGCTCTCTGAATTAGAATACAGCCCAGGGCTCCATGAAGAATTTATGACTAAAAGAATCTTTGGATGAGGCCAGATGCTGACCCCCCCCCACTGCCTCAGGCCCCTGCTGTTCATAAATTCATAGACAAAGAGCTGGAAGGGACCCTTGAACTCATCTACTCCAATCCCCTCACTTTACTGATGAAGAAACTGAGGCAACAAAGAAGTTAAGTGACTTGTGCAAGATCATACAGGTAGTATCAGAAACAGGATTCAAACGCAGGGTGGTCTTTGTCTCCGTCTGCAGGATGAAGAGGGACACAGCAGAGCCTAAGATTCCTGGAGGGTGGGGGGTGGTAGTGGGATCAGCTCTCCTACCAACAGAGGTTCAGGGGGTTGAGTAGCCAGTCAGTGACTCAAAGATCAAAAGGGTCACTCTTAAGAAAAGTTGGCTGAAACAAGGGAAAAGGACCACCCTTCAAATCACGTCCTGGGAATTATTGCTGAGTTATTATATATTATTATATTATATTCTGAGTTTTTGCTGGCCCCTAGCAACAGTCCCATCCAGCCTCCTACTGCTAGATCCAGTATCTCATGCATTCCTCTGGAAAGTTCTCCGAGACACTAAGGATTGACCCCTGCTCTCTGAAAGAGGGCTTTAACTCTGTTATGTAAACACAGGGTACCCCCAAAGTCTGACTGTACCTTTGACCTTTTAATAGCTTTAACAATAAAGGAGCTCAAAGGCACTAAGACTTTTGGGACACCCTGGCTGCGGGCTGGGGCGGGGGGGGGGAGAGGGATGTGTGGGTACGTCTCCCCACTAAACAATTATTCATCAAATAAATTACGTCAGTTTAAAATCAAGCAAAAGAAGAAGGAAATATTGGCTGGACATGAAACTAAATGCTTCAGAAGCCATTGAGAAAGGACCCTACATAGCAGTACTGGACACCTGGAGAGACTTCTGTGCGCCTTTCCGCGTCCCCGTTGCCCCCACCAACCCCACCCACCCCAGGTGTTCAGACTCTGTTACTCTCTTCCCGGACTATAATGCCTTGAGAATTTGTAAAGACTGTCACCCCGTCTGGGTCAGTACTCTGCTGGGAGTTAGCTGTGTCTTCTGAAAAGAGCACGGGAGACAGAGCCAGAACAGTGAATGAGATTCCTGTGAGGTGGGTCAGTCATTACCATTCGCCAATACTACACACAGCCTAAGGATGGGGAAGGGGTCGGCGGGGAGTTGGGGGGGGGTTGTCAGGTTAGGAAGGGCAGTAGAGACGGGGCTGGAGGGAGGGAGACTGAGCTTTGAAAGGAGGAGAGGAAGGGTAGCTAAAACGACATCCCCCCCACCCCAATTTTATCACTTCCCTTGGTCTCTGCCCAGGCTGCCTCCCTGCCCGATGGTCCCCAACTCAGGCGCTCAAGTGCCCAGCCCATATAGCCTGCTTCCGGCTAGTTCGTTTTGTCTTTGTATGCCATGCCCAACGCCCAAAGTGCTAGGCGCTTAGGAGGCTCAGTAAAAACTGGCTGAATTGCATTGAACTGAATTCAGTTGAGAGAGCGCAGGAACTGGAAAGGACCTTTTGGAGTCATATTGTCCATACTCCAGTCTCTCATAAGCTGAATTCCAGGGCAAAGGTGGAAATTACCCCCCCAACACACACCCGGGATGGAAAGTTCCTCTCGAAGTCTGCCCTGTGTCCCTCCTGCTGTAGCTTCTCTGACTGAGGTCCCAGCGCCCAGGCGCTGTTTCTCCGCCCCCTTCAGACTGAGCCCTGACTCCAGGAAGGGACCCAGGCGTACCAGCTTCCTACCTGCGCTTGGTCCGGGTGGCGGCAGGTGGCGATGACCAGGTCCGGAGAGGGGCTCCGAGCCAGGAATCCCCGCACCAAGCCCAGGCCGATGCCGCGGTTGCAGCCGGTGACGAGAACCGCGCGGCATGTCCCAAGTGCCATGGTCCAAGCAATCCGAATATCTGAGCGCGCCAAGGTGCAAACAGGGGCTTGGAGCTGTCCGGGGCTGGAACCAGAGGGATAAAGGGGGCTAAGCCCTGCCCCAGGCTCCGCCTCTCTCCAAGCCCCTCCTCGAGCCAGAGCGCCCGACCCTCCTCCATCGCACCTACCTATACCACTACCCCAGTAAAGTCCTGGTCCCATCTTGCAAATCCCTTTCTTCTGCAAACCCTTTAGAAGATCAGTCTGGAGTCAGGAGAGTTCCACGACAAGAGAGTGGAGTCCATCACCAGACCTGGCCGTCAGGTATGGCCAAAGAGCTGCTGACTCCCAGCTGGTTGGATCTAGGGTGTCCGGGGGGAAAGAAAGGCCCAGGTAGAAAGCAGCACCAGTACTCAGGTCTCTTTCGCATACATGGCTGTAAAGCCCCAGGGGAGGACTTTCGAGAGCTAGAGAAAGAATTTCCACACAGCTCTTCATCTCCCTGCTGGGGGCTGGGGCAGGACAGAGTCTCCCCTTATGCCTGCCCATACTTCCTTCCACCTTTTCCCAGAACTCTGCAAGTTCCAACCTTTGTCTCTGCCCCACCAGGGCAAGGTGAAGTGATCTTGGCTCTGTAGCCAGTCCGGTGAGTGTCTTGGGTACCAGGAAGGGCTGAGCTGCTACAGACCTGGAGTCCTCTGGCTGAGGACACAGACTTGAGGTTCCAGAATAGGACCAGAAAAATCTAGGGTTCCCACTAGCAATGAGGGCTGCCCCTCTATTTCCACAGGGCATTTCCTCCATTTCAGGAATTTATTCCTTCCTTGCTTCTGCCTCTCAGCATCCCAAACTTCCTCCAATTACTGCCACCTTCACAGGAGATCTTCTCTGATTTCCCCAGTTGTCAGGGCTCTCTTCTGGAAATTATGTGGATATAATTTGTTTTTACTTATCTGTGCATTCCTCTCCTTCCCCACCCCTCGCCCCAGAAGGGCAGATACAATTTTATTTTTGGCTTTGTATCTCTGGCACCTAGTCCAGCGCCTGGCACGGAGTAGTTACTTAGTACATGTTTATTAAATTGATTGGGTTGAATAAAGTATGGAGGCAAGGTGTTTTTCCCCCTCCATTCAGCCTAGAGTCTCACACAAAGGCCAAATGCCTTGGAGGAGAGAAACCAGTCTAAGTGCAAATCATCAAGCCAGAAGCCTGCCAGTCCTCTAACCAGAGACCGTCCAGGAGCAGCTGAAGCCAGCAGCTTCCTTTCCTGGGGAGCAGGAAACCTAGAGTGCTCAGATGGAGACGTTCTGGTGGGATTGGAAACCTATATCGGTTTAGATTTGCAAAGCACTTTATCAATATTATCTCCTTTGATCCCCTGGAGGGTTTTACTGTTCAGCTGTTTTTCAGTTGTGTCCCACTCTTCACGACTCCTTTTGGGATTTTCTTGGCAAAGATACTGGAGTGGTTTGCCATTTCCCTCTCCAGCTTACTTTACAGATGAGGAAACTGAGGCAAAGTGACTTGCTAGTCAGTAAGTAAATCTGAGGCCAGATTTGAACTTGGGGAGATGAGTCTTCCTGACTCTAGGCCTAGCCCTATGGTGCCACCTAGCAACCGCTAGAGAGAATTAAATAAAAGAGGAATTGGGGATGATTTTGTTGTGTTGATGATCTTAAGGGAGGAAAAAAAAAGGAGAGAGGGGAAGAAAACACTAGGAAAGGAATGAGAAGAAGAGAGTGGAACTTACTATTTCTCATGATGGGGGTACATCTGAAGAAGAGTATACAAACATGGTGGAAGAGATAAGGGGAGAGGACACTACATGAAAATCACTCATATCTGAACCAGACAAAGGAGGGTTGAACACACAGACAATTTGCTGTAGGAATACATTAACAGGTAAATAGATGGAAATGAATGAATGAATGGAAAAGTATTTATTAAGCCCACCCTTAATGAAATGATGACCAGGAAGAAACACTTTAGTCCAGAAGTTTATAAGGATGGTGAATGGAGCTGTGATATAGGTGATTTAATTGTGATTCATAGTTCCAGAACTGGGGGGTGAGAGGAGGGGAGGAAGAAAGGAAGTACACACATAACATTGAAGCAGAAGTGGCCAGGATGAGGGGGCCTGTGTGTGAAATAAAGCATGGCTGGGACTATCCAAAAATAGCAAGGCAGTTGGCAAGGAGGTCACAGAAGAGGTCCCTGGAGAGTACTGGAGTGAGGGAGAAAGGATAAGGAAAGAGGCGCTTAAGGAAGGAATAATCATAAGGAAACAAATGTCAACTTCAGAGGATGGATCATAAAAGGGGAGGGAGGGTTAAAAAGGAAGAAAGAAAGTGATTGGGTCTAGACCAGAGAAAGAAAGCAGAGGGCTGTCATGGGGAAGCAGATCTATTGATATAATCACATGTTTAGAAAAAGACTTTTTGACAAAATACAATAATCATTTCTGTTAAAATAAAAAAAAGTCACAAACATTAGAGACAACTAGATGGCACAGAAGGAGCTGAGTTCAAATCTAGCCTCAGACACTTGATACTTACTAGCTTTGTGACCCTGAGCAAATCACTTAACCCCAATTGCCTTGCCCCCCTCTCAAAAAGAGACATTAAAAAGCATAGGAATAAATTAATTTTCCCTTAATATGACAAGTAGTATTTATTTCAAACCAAGAGTCTACATTACACATAATGGAAACATACTGAAAGCCTTTCCATTAAGATCAGGGGTAAAATAAGAATGTCTGTTTCCAGTACTAGATATAGCAACAAGATAAGGGGGGAAATTGATGAGATCTTGCAAAGAAAAAACAAAATTATTGCTTTTTGTAGATGACATGATTGTTTACTTAGAGAACCTGAAATAGTCAGCTATAAATTAATTGAAATAATTAATAATCCTAGCAAAATATCAGGACAAAAAATAAACCCATAAAAATCATCAACTTTTCTGTATATTACCAACAAAATCCAGCAAGAAGAAAGAGAGAAATTCCATTCATAGTATCTAAAGGATGTATATTTTTAAAATAAGTTTTTTTATTGATGTCTTTTTTTTACATCATCATAATTTTTCCCGGTGTTCTTCTCCCTCCCCAGCCCAGAGAGCCATCTCATATTAACAAATAATATTTTTAAAGACAAAATAAGAAAGAACAAAGGGAAAAAAATCAGCCTCATCAATTAATATAATGAAAAAGTCCCTAAACATATGTAATGCGCAATATTCGTGGACCTCCCACCTCTGCAAAGAGGTGGGTTGGTATCATCCTCTCCTGTTTTTTTTTTCTTGAGCCATACTTGTTCTTTATAATTTTGCAACATTCACTTTTGGTTTTCTGGTGTGCCATTCTTTCCATATACCCTGTTGTACTTGCTGTGTATATTGTTTTCTTGGCTTTGTTTACTTCAGTCTGCATCAGTTGATATAGACGTTTCCATACTTTTCTGCATTTACCACATACCTAATACAACACAGTAATATTCCATTATATTTATGTACCACAATTTGTCTAGCCATTCCCCAGTCAATGTGCATCTACTTTGTTTATGATTGTTTGCCATCACAAAAAGTGCTGCTACAAATTTTTTGGTGTATTTTTGTAACTATTATAATATAGTTTGAGAATTTTGGTGTATTTGGAAAACTACAATAAAACAGTTTGAAGTCTGGAAGTACTTTTCCCTTTCCATCTCTACTTCTTTTCATTATTGCTCTTCATATTTCCAAATGAACTTTGTTATTATTTTCTCAAAGTCTATAAAATATCCCTTTCATGATTTTATTGGTGTAGAATTATAAGTTTAAATTAACTTTAGAAATATTGCTGTTTTTCTTGTATTGACACAGCCTAGCCATGAACAATAAATGTGCCAGCTATTTAAATTTTTGTTTATTTCTTTTTTGTTTTGTTTTTGTTTTTTTTTTTTTTAGCTAAGCAATGGGGTTAAGCAACTTGCCCAGGGTCTGAGGCAGGATTTGAACTCAGGTCCTCCTGACTCCAAGGCTGGAGCTCTATCCACTGTGCCACCTAGCTGCCCCTGTTTATTTCTTTAAGGAGCACTTTGCAACTTATTCAGTACCTAATGTAAACAAGTCTTTTGTATACTTTAGTAGATTGATCTCCAGATAATTTATGCATTCCTTTATCCTTCCTTGCTTTAAGTATTAGGACTATATTTGTCTCATAAAAGGATTCTGGTAGAGTGCTTTCTTTCTCAGTTTTTGAGAAGAATTTGTATAGTATGGGTACTAATTATTCTTTAGAAGTTTGATAAAATTCACATGTGAACCCAGCAGAACCAGGAGTTTTTTTCTTTGTTAGGTCCTTTAAAGCTGTATTTCCTTTTCTGAAGTTGAGTTATTTAAGATCTTTACTTGGTCTTCTGTTAGTTTGTATTTTGTATTTTTTTTTTAAATATTCCTTTATTTCTTTTGTGTTTTTAGTTTTATTAGCATATAGCCAAACAAAATTGATTCTAATTATTATTTTTATTTCTTCTGATTTTGTTGTGATTTCATTCTGCCCATTTGTTATTTGTTGGTTTGATTTTCTGCCCTCTTCTTTTTAAGCAGATTAGCTAAATATTTATCAATTTTATTAGTCTTTTCAAAGAATCTGTTTTTAATTTTATCTATGAGGTTTTTTTTGTTTCCAGTTAATCTATTTTTCCTCTAATTTTTTATATTTTCTCTCCTGTGCTTATTTTAGGTTTATATGTTGACTGTTTTCTCCGTTTTCAAATGAATATTTAGTGCACTGATTCTTTCTTTTTCTATTTTGTCAATATATGTTTTTAGGGATATGACTTTTTCCCCTGAGCTGTATCCCAGAAATTTTTGTATGTTGTTTCATTATTATCATTTTCTTTTACATAATTATTATCTCTTTGATTTGTTCTTTGACCCACTCACTATACAGGATTTTGTTAAGTTTCTATTTGAGTCTATGTTTTTTGTGTGTGATCCCTGAACTGCTATTTTTCTTGCATTGTGGTTTGTAAAGGACATATTTACCATTTCTCCCTTTTTTACATTTGTTGCAATATCTCTGTGCCCTAATACATGGTCAATT